CCAATCAGAGACAGACAACAGATCATAGAACAAACCTGCAAACAAGGACTGACAAACATGTTGATGTGCCAATAGGATGATTATTCATTTGTTTCTTTACTGATGGCCTTATGTGGATAGATTGATGTTTTTCACTTTTTATGTATTTTTTTAAGAGCAACATTTGTAAGATAAATAAAATGTGAAACGCAAATTGTTCTAGAAGTGTTTTTTTTTTATGTGTCACCTGTTTTATACAGTTAAGATCAGTTCTTCAGGTGTTCTACTTTACTGTACCATGCAGCCTTACTGCAAAATGGATAATATTATCTTTTCATTCTCAAAACTGTACACATTACACCCCATAAAGATATCATTAAAAAATACTGATCTGCCAATAGAATATTTTTTTTTATTTGTTGTTTACTAATGGCCTTAGGTGGATAAATTTACATTTTTCACTTTGCTGTATTTTTTAAGAGCAACTTATGAAAAGTAAATAAAATGTAAAAAGGCTAATTTTTTTTTTTTTTTTGCTTCTTTGTTCATACTGTGGAGCCAGAATGTAGCCTTATTACAAAATTGATAATATTGTATTTCTCATCTCCAAACTCTATGCATAACAACCAATAAAAATATCTTTTTAAAAATATTTTTTAGGGAGATTTAGAGTAAATCGGATATTTGTAAGACTTTACAAATATTTTTATGAAGCACAAAATTGAGTTCTTTTGCATCTGGTTTTCAGTGAGCATAGAAACGTTTCTACACCTTCACTGGAGTCCATTGTGGTAGATTCACGGGACTGGAAAAAAAATGTAAAACGTCACACATGAAGGCTAAGGATTTAGCTGCAGTCCTCCAAAACAGAACGTCTAAAAACAAAAATCCAGGGAAGGGTAGAGAAAGGAACCTTCTTCTTCAAAGGTCTAGATGGTTATAATGGCCTCCATCATCATTATATGGAGGAAACTTGGAATGACCAGGACCCCTCATAGAGCTGGATGGCCATTTTGAATTTCATAAGAGATCTAAAAATTGCTGTGCACCAATGTTACACATCCACACTGATTTTTTTTTTAACATTACCTGCATCTATTTATGAGTGTAAACTTACAAAAATCAGGTGTCCCAAACTTATAGTATCCCATTCAATAAAACTTCAAACTGTAATTTCTGCCAAAGGTGCATCAACTACTCAGAAAAGGCTTCATATGATTAGGTACACCTCGCTTCTTTGTTTGTATATTTCATGTGTATCTGTTACATTATTTGCTAAAATATTGTCCTGTTATTGGAAAATAGGGATGGTAAAACCAATTATCAAATTTTGTTTGCCGCTGTATCAAAAACAGACATGAAGAAAAGTGTTGTGAATATTGTTTGAATTCAGTGTAAACCAGAGCACTAGGCTTCTGAAAAAAAGCTCAGAAAATGTATTAGTTTATACAGAGATAGGATACTAAAAAGTGCAAAAAAGAAAATAATTGAGTAAACAATATTAACAGAATAAGAATAATACTACCCAAAATGGTAATGTTTTATTTCCTGCTGTATAACAATGCCAATAACCAAGTAACATGTTTTCTCTTCATAAAGAATAATTCCATAGCATATATCTGGTATAGAGATTCAGAAAAGCTGGTTAATGAAAGATCTGCACAATCTTTCCAAAAGCTCTAAAATAAATTCAAATCATTTAAGTAATTTCAGTTGATCATAATAAATGAAATGATAAACAATTTCAACTGATAGTTTCATGAATTAAGCTTTAAAAAAATCTACATATTGATATTAGTCCTTCAATTAAAATCTTCAAGATTTAAGCACACAGAAATATTCAGTTAAAGGACGTGAAATCTGGTGCATAAAAATGTTTTATTCAAAAACTTCTTAAACTTCTTTGTGTGTGCATAAAGAAACATCTAAATATATTTTCTGATCAATTTAAATATTTCATCTTTGAAACAAAATAATGTTAAAACTGACCAACAACTACTAAAATACATGATTAAGGAAGTGATTGTTG